GCTGCTGCCGCTGTGTGCGGGCAGCGCGGCCACGGCCGGCCCTTACTGGCCGTCCGACAACAACTCTCGACCAAATCAACTTCAAATAACATAATCTCACCTGGCATGACTATAAATACTGAATTAACTTGAAAACATGAATTTTGTTCAAAAAGTTGGACTCGGCCGCAGCGGGCGCACCGTGCGCCGCCGACGGCGGTAAGCCGTTCTACGACCAATTTCATTTTCTCTCGGCAATTCTTACTTGACTGAACATGAACCAATATTTACTGAATTAATAGACATGATATGCTCGAAAGACTGAACCTAACATGCTCGTTACAAGTACCCGGCCCGTGGTGCGCGCTACGTGCGCGACCACGTCCCTCGGCCGGGTCACCGCACAACATGAACATTCATCGAACAACACAATCTGGCTGAACATGATACTGTATAAAATAACTAAATATACAAAGTTGTTCGAAAGATTTGACTTAGAACATGACATGCTCGATTCAACCTACGCACGGCGACACCATTCACGACCTACATAGGAGTTGGTTTACATAGCAATGATATCTATTACTTCAAATAGGTAACAAGCATTTTACCTCTCCCGCTGCTCACTTGATCGAACTAAACACCTGAAGTACTTGAACCTCGTCGTGACCGGACGTGCGTGCGTGCGTTAGGCTTGCGGTGCGAAGAACTAAGGGCAATTGTTCACCTATCTTCTTGCTGGACTTAGTGAAATATGAGGTGCGAATATAGAGCTGAAATTTTGGGGAAAAATTCATCCAAATGCCTCCTTATATAGCTTGACCGAACCAACCTATGTGATGATGCTATGCTTTGTTGGACTCATGGTTTAGTGCCACTTGCCTTAACAATATTAACCACATGCTAACTCATCACTTAGAAAGTGCTTAGTCATCTCATATGCAACCATATGTTGCCACCTCATGCTACAAATATAAGGAAATGTTTTCTTCCTCCTTAGGAAACTTTTGCACGACATTTGTAGAGCATAAGGGAAAATAGCTACGGCTTATATAACTTAAGAGTGATTAATTGCTAATTAATCACTTCATTATGTTTAATTATTTAATTAAACATAATGCTTAATTACCAAAATTATTCCGAACGTAAACGGGACGTCGAAATTAATTTTGGGTAATCTCTACTGAAAATAATTAATTCCAAAAATTAATACTCAACAATATTAATATATCAGAACTAAAACATGATTTATATTATTAAACTGACGGGATATTACAAGGCGAAAGAGTACCGTCGCCGATTTTCGAAAAAATAACTACACAGTAAAGTCGGTAAAAGTCGTTCTCAGAGGTTAACTTCCATGGCGAGGAAAATTTGGTCAAGGCTTTGAGGCAACGGACTGCAGGACTGTAACGCCCCACTTTTATTTACCGAAAATCAGAATAAATTTTTCGAATTTATTTCAGAAACAATATTCGAGGCGCTACTCATTTTCAAATCAATAATCAATACTCAACATTTTCTCAATATTCGGCAATTATCGATACTCATAATCAATAAAAAAATCCCAATAATCAATCAATAATCCAATACTAGAAAAGCAATAGTCAATAATAATGCAATAATATCCAAATTCAGTTCAAAGCGGAAGCATTTATTCAAATTAAAGACCACCACTCGCATCCCCTCCGTCGTGCTGCTCTATCTAACCTGCATCCATGAAGAGCAGGTGGGGATGAGCACAATAGGAAACAATAATGCTCACCGCTATGCCATAAATATTAGTATCAATAATCAACAGTAATCAATAATCAAAAGGTATGGTCTCAGCATGTATACGAAGCAATAATCTATCCCATTGTCCCATCAATAATACAATAATCAGACTCATGTGCACACCTACGCATAGACTACTGCTGACTATATATCGAATGCCCTCCGGTCCTACATCGAGTGCCAGCCAGTAGGAGTAAACCACCCCACCGGCCAAGGTCTTGCCTTGGACTTACCAATGAGGATCACCGGCCGAGGGACCTAAGCCCTGGTCTTACGGCTTCTCAAGGGAGACTACCCAAAGGTACGTTCTATAGCTACGGGGACAACCGTCCGGTGGCCGATACAGCTCACACCGAAGGCTACATGGTTCACATGCATACTTTGATCATACCACAATTAAAACAGTAATAACATTTAAGGCATAGTAAATTTTACAATTACAACCCACCTGGAAATTTCGGTAGAAAATGGTACACAAAAGCAAGCACGGAGAATGAGGCTCGACTCCTCAAACACCTACATTTAAGCGAGATAATTTATCAATAATTTATCTCACTACTCGAATTTAACATAAAACTCATACTTAATAAATATTAAGATTTACGGGTTTTAATCGGATTTTTCGTGGACTTGGAACTCTCTCATTTTTGACAAATAAGACTCGGAGAAGTAAATTGGGGTCTCGGAACTTAAAATAATTTTTTCCAAAGTTTTTTTCATTTTTAAAATATTTTTAAAATTTAAATCGGTATTAAAACAGGCTCCGGAACACAAAATAGGTTGAGAAAGCCACTTGGGCCGAGATGCCAATCGCTGGGCCAAAATCTGCTTCACATATGGCCCTCACACATGCAATTGGGCCGCAATTGGACGAGAATTGGGCCGCTAGGGCCTGCTATAGGGCTGGATAAAACGCGGGCCAATCGGGCTGGAAGATGTGAGGTAACCGGGCCGCGCGGGCTGGCTTCGGGCCATGCGGCCCGCGCGCCAGACTACAACTAAAATGGGCGAAAAAAATGTAATGTTGCAGGGAGGGAGTTTCTAACTCGCGACCACGTGCGAGGAGTAGTAGGCAGACACCACTGGGCTACACGAGCTGCTTGCGACTAAATTGCAACTTTATAAATTGAAGTTTAGAACAAAACCTGCTACTGAACAGAAACAAAAGCTGCGAAATATGCAAGGCCGACTAAGCAGATTGGACAGAATTTCAGCTACAGGTTTCAACAGCTAAATTCACAGAAATTTTTCAAAATAAAATAGTTTTTTCCAGAGTTCAAAAATATACGAAAATGGGGTTTGCTCGGAATAGGAATTGACACCTAACGGATGGAAAACAACGAACAAGACAACCCCGAAATAAATTACAATGAGACTCCAAAACGACAAAACGGGACTCCGAAATAACACAATATAGTCACAGCAACGCAACAAAATTTTCTGAGTTTTGAAATCTTATAACAACAAGTTTTATTGGTTCGAAAAAATGGAACAACAATACACGGTTTTAAAAACTAACGAACGACATAACGACAATTCGAAACAATAATATCGAGACTCCGAATCACTCAAA